AACTAAACACTTCTTAATGCGTTCCGAATAAGAAACTAATTAAATAAGAAACGAACCTCATTTCAGCATGCCGAACAATTACATCACTAAGAAACGATCCATTGTAATAATTTGTGCTTGATCAATCTTAAAAGATTATTTTAAAATCACATAAAATAACTATACCTCAAGTTTGAAATAGCTAACGTCGTATATCTTAAAAATTAAATATGCTGTAAAATATGTATTGCATACATATACATATTATATTTATTTTTAAAACGAGCTAATGCCAAATTCTCATTATAAATTTACAAAAGCACAGTTACTGTTTTTCATTTATACTTTGACATCTTTATATACATGCCATCTAAATGATATATTCATGCGATTAAAATGTAATGACTAATTCTGAGACTCTATAAAGTATATATATTCTTTCAATTCCTCAGAAATTCTGTTTTATTTTTATGAAAATCGGAGCACCTTATCATATAACATATTTAGCTACCTTAGTAGATGTAGAAAAAAATGGAAATATAAAACTATGTATTACTGTAAGTTGTTCTTACATACAATTTTGTTCAGCATTTATATATATTTATAATTTATATTATATTATATTTTTCAAGTCTGAAATATAGTTTTATTATACCAGTTAATATATTTTTTTAAACTTTATTAAAACCAAATAATTCAATGATATGTATAACAAAAAAGGAAGCTAACTTCGGCACGCCGAAGTTTGTATACCCTTGCAGATATTATTTCATTACATTTTACCTATACTTATTATGTTTACACTTTGACAGTTACAGTTTTGCATTCCCAGCTTTAGATTTTCTCTACATCTACCGATCGTTTCTATGGCAGCTATATGATATAGTTGTCTGATTTTCAAAACATTTAAAACGAAAATCTGAAATAATATAAAATGTCTATATCTTAAAAATGATGTAAAAATGTTAAAAAACAGCCAAGTTATAAATTTTGTTCTAAATGAGCTATATGATATAGTCGTCCGATCCGGCCCGTTCCGACATATATAGCAGTGAGAGTATATAGAAGACTATATGCAAGGTTTCATTCAGATAGCTTTAAAACTGAGGGACTAGTTTGAGTAGAAACAGACGCACATGGCTAGATCGACTCGGCTTTTGCTGATCAAGAATATATATACTTTAGAGGGGCGGAAATGCCTCATTCACTGCGTTGCAAACTTCTGACTGAAATTATAGTACCTTGCAAGGGTATAAATATATATTTAGAGCTATATTTATATCTATATAGATATAACTAAAATTTAGTGTGAATTCCTAACAAAGGCTTTTACGTTCCTAATACCATATGTACCATTTAATAAGAAAAGAAAACTAGTTTTCGGAGATTCTATAAAATTCAATAAGCCGTAGAACATGTTAACGGTAATAAAACTACTTTTATACAATCAGTGGCCCAGTTTTGACTTAACTGGAAATCCGGTTTTGAAGGCCAGCCCAAACTTCAGCTCTAGCTTTGAAGTGTTTTCTATTTCGCCAGTAACTACATTCTTCTCTAGAAAAACATAAATGAGCTTTTTAAGATAACCTAACGAAGACCTCTTTTGTGTTAAATCTAAAAAAACGGAAACAAGTTAACTATTCTTTTCACATTATAGTTATAAAGTTTACCATAGCATATCATACTATATCATTGCATTTAGTCTGATGAGTCTGACGTGTCCGAAAAACTTCTTTAAAAAACTTCTTGAGAAAATTTGTATACTAGTTTAAAAATAAACGGAGTCAGTTCCTAACGAGGTTAGATAAAAGTGACAACCGACAGTTTAAAATATATATTCAAAATAAACAAATATAACAAATAGTTTGGCATGCTGCTATAAGTCTTTAATTCCAACACTACTCATAAAACAAACGGGATAAAGTTGCCAAATTTAATCCCAGGTAGGCGTGATTAAAGGCTAATCCCTGTTGCTCAATTTCAGTATGAACACGATTAATTTTTTCCATCCCAAAAGATCAACCATTTGTATGTACATATACAAAAATCAAACTTAAGCCAATTTTATTCAAGACAAAAAATACATTTACATCGTATTTCCTGCCTTCTCTTATAAGATCCAGCATGGATTCGTTTGCCTTGCACGCCAATGTTTGTGTACTCTTGCAGTTGGCAAATTGGATAATTAAAAATCTGTTCATTTTGGTCAAATTAATAAAAAAAAATGGATTTCTGTGGGAAGACCTTATACCAAAAAATGTCAAAATCTCTAAGTACATACATATAAAACAAGAAAGGAAGCTAACTTCGGCACTCCGAAGTTTGTATACCCTTGCAGATATTATTTTATTACATTTTACCTATACTTATTATGTTTACAGTTTGACAGTTACAGTTTTACATTCACACCTTTACATTTTCTCTACATCTACCGATCGTTTATATGGCAGCTATATGATATAGTTGTCCGATTTTTATGAAATTTATACCAAAATTCTAGAATAATAAAATAAGCTTATATCCCGGAGTAGATGGAAAAACGTTGAAAAACAACGAAGTTATAGTTTTTTTCCTATTAATTTCCCGATCGTTCCAATGGCAGCTACTACATGCAAAGTTTCATTCAGATAGCTTTAAAACTGAGGGACTAGTTTGCGTAGAAACAGACAGACAGACAGACGGACAGACGGACATGGCTAGATCGACTCGGCTGTTGATGCTGATCAAGAATATATATACTTTATAGGATCGGAAACGTCTCCATCACTGCGTTGCAAACTTCTGACTGAAATTATAATACCCTGCAAGGGTATAAAAATATGTTAATTCCCGGTAAAATTAAAACACAAACTAATAGCACAAAGGACTCTAAAGGGTTCGTGTAGTTCAAGGGATGTTCTACAGTGGGGCAAAAATAAGTATATAATGGATCTAGTGTTATGTCGCGGTACGTATAATTAAGCTGAACCAACAGTCTCAGCACTTTCCACGTCTCCGCGGATTAGGTCATAAATGAATGTAATACCTAGAATGGCTATCCGGTTAGATAAAGAGGGTAAGTTAATTAGTAGGTGTCTACTAGTATACACCGGTAACCTCTGGAGAGATGAGATGGCCGACAACTCAGAGATTGCTCTATAGTTATTGGACTACATAGCATACAAATTAGATTTTTTATACCCTTGCAGGGTATTATAATTTCAGTCAGAAGTTTGCAACGCAGTGAAGGAGACGTTTCCGACCCTATAAAGTATATATATTCTTGATCAGCATCAACAGCCGAGTCGATCTAGCCATGTCCGTCTGTCCGTCTGTCCGTCTGTCCGTCTGTCCGTCTGTCCGTCTGTCTGTCTGTCTGTTTCTACGCAAACTAGTCCCTCAGTTTTAAAGCTATCTGAATGAAACTTTGCATATAGTCTTCTATATGCTCTCACTGCTATATATGTCGGAACGGGCCGGATCGGACGACTATATCATATAGCTGCCATACAAATGTTCGATATATTTGAAAAAAAAAATTATAACTTGGCTGTTTATCAACATTTTTGCACCATTTTTTAGATATGGCCATTTTATCTTATTTCAGAATTTCAGTAAAAATTTTATGAAAATCGGACGACTATATGATATAGCTGCCATAGGAACGGTCGAGAAATAAATAGGAAAAAAAATTATAGTTTCGTTGTTTTTCAACGTATGTATGTTTATCTACTCTGAGATATAAGCTTTTTTTATTATTCTAGAATTATGGTATAAATTTCATAAAAATCGGACAAATATATCACATAGCTGCCATATAAACCGATCGGTAGATGTAGAGAAAATGTAAAACTGGGAATGTAAAACTGTAACTGTCAAACTGTAAATATAATAGGTATACGTAAAATGTAATGAAACTCTGTTTTGTGAGTGTTTTCAGAATTTAAATCTATAATATAAACATCGAAACCAATCTGCAAGGGTATACAAACTTCGGCGTGCCGAAGTTAGCTTCCTTTCTTGTTATTTTTAAGGCGACTCAACCATGGAGGCTTATTCGATATAACGAAACACATTTAGTAAAAAATTAATTCATAGCAATGCTAAAAATATCCAAAGTATCACCCATATCAGTACATATGTATCGATCAAACAGAGGAATTTTTTGGCTGGAACATCAGATAATTCTGTAAATCAGTTCCAATGTCGATAGTCACACTTGATTAGAATCTTCGGGTTGCGGCAGCGGCGCCACCCTACCTGAACTTAAATCCCCAAGAACTCCCTGTCCGAAAGTCTATTGAAAAGGAATTCAACATCGTTGCACTCCTCGAAAGTTATTAATTCAGACGTGCGAGTGAAGTTACTGCTATGAGGACGCCTTCCCCACATCTGATACTAATAAGAATATAAGACTATATATTTATTCATTCAGAGCGCCTAGTTCGCGAGCAGACAGACGGACATGTGTAGATCGACTTTACTGTTGATGCTGAAGAATATATATACTTAATAGGGTCGGAAAATTAGAATATCCTGCATATGTATAACATATTCTTTAAGATAATGTTTTACACATAAAATACACGTAATACCTATCTATATGCCAAGGGTCATTTACTTTTAGGTTAGAATGCAGCGCGGATGGTATCTTCCTAGATTACCCTCAAAGTACCTTAGTAAAATAGTATATACTATTTACAAAAGTTCACTTGTATACTTATATATCATATTATATTATTTTTTAAGTCGCCAGTAAATTCAGCTTACTGACCCCAACGTGAACATAGTATTTAAACCGATCGAATATATTATATTATATATACATATTTATGTAATTACAAAGATTTATTTTATTAAATGTGTTTACGGGAGTTCGTGATGTGCAATTCTTAGTTAAAATTAAACAAAGTAGTGTAGTGACACATACATAAATACATTCAGTATTTATCAATAAATGAGCTCTGGGGCATTTGATTTTAAAATTTTTAATGATAACAAATTAAAATATATTAACCATTTTATTGTACATTTATTTTCAGACTAACTGTGCGCATAATCTTAGGCTTATGAATAAAGAAGGAGTTTCTCTATTGACAGCCTCGACAGATAACGCCGACCAAAGTCATAATCAAGAGGTAAATGTTTAGATATTCCTCATTGTCAATATTGAATCCGAATTTTATAATACATTTTTGATTTACATAAAATTCATTGAAAACGTCCTAGCCCGATATCATAATGAAAAGGTAAGGGTCCCTTGCTGAAATGAACACAATCTGTTGAGATTTGTTTGAGAACCGTGCACAAAGGCACTAGTTATCAGAAATACTCCGTCTTATAGTACGGCACGGAGAAGCTGAAACACCATCGCAAAGCACGGCGAAGGAGCGAAAGGCAAATAGCTTGGAACCGCCTTTCGTGAGCGCCCTTTTAAAGGCATGTAAAGAGACACGCAATCAAAATACTAGAAAAGGACATGGCACTAGGAGATTATGGGAGGGCACACCTTTAGTATTTCCAGAGCTGGGCGTGAGAAAGAATAAACAATTTAATAAAACAGGCTGTTCTCAACTGCTTGCCTCTCGCTGTCTCATGCATGCAGTTTCTTCACATATATCTAATTATGGGTCTCGCCATGAACAATATTGTGCGGAAAAGTCGAATCTAGGAGTTTAAAGAGCAAATACAGTTAATTTAATTAAATAGCTAGAAGCAAATACAATATTTTGGAAATGGGGCTATTATATTAATTTGCTAGGAAGAAGAAGGTCCTGCCTGAGGCAATTAGTAAAAATATAAATAAGGAAGCCGTAGGATATCAAGATTAAAATGGGACAGGTCCACACAGGCCTTGCCGATTTCGTAAATCTCACAGGTAAAATTTACTATAGAGCCCATATCTCCATTGCTGTCACATTGAGGCGACTTGGAACTATCCAAGTACCTCGCAAGTCTACAAATTGAACTGGGACGATGATAGAATTAGGTATACCACATTTTTTGAATTTTTAATTAAATAATTTTTAATTTTTACATAGAATTTAAGTAATATTCTTTATTTCTCATTTTAATACATATAAAAAAATTTTTATTTCAGGATCTTGAGTCATTGCGTCTTAAACGGGGTCATGTGCTAACAGAGCTTTTGGAGACGGAGCGAATCTACGTAAATGAAATGAGTTCTATCTTACTGGTAATTATATTCCGTTTTACATTTATGGTTTCTCTAAGCCCATTGCTTATAGAACTATGCTATAATATTTCATACGAATCTGAAAAGTATTGATGATGAATTACTTTTATTTTTATCTAAAAGATATTACAAAATGATAATATACAGTCCTGCTCCGGTAATCGAAAACGGCAAGAATTTTTCGTTTTCGTTTTTGAAAACGAGAAATTGGTGCTCCGGTAATCGAAATCGAAAGATTTTTTCGATTTGAAAAACGGGCACCTTTTTCTGGCCGGAATGAAAAGTAAATGGCTTTTTTTATATGAAATCAGATCTTATATATAAAAGGAAAAAAATAGTTTACTCAGTGGTCTATTGATGTTTATTCCACACCACCACAAGATCATTCTGGCAGGTAGTTATTTTATAAAAAATTTATTTCTGACCCCACCTCACATTTGACAACAAAATTTTTGCCGTGTTCAACCAGTTTTCTCGGTTTGGCGATAGGTCGATAAGTTCACCGCAAAAAGTTATAAGGTTGCCATATTGTTGGTGGAACGAAACATCCAGTTAAAAATACTTATAAAATATAAATGAATTCATTAATAACTTTAAAGAACCGCCAAAATGGTTGTTTATAAATAATGCTATTTAATTGTACTACTTAAATAGTCCAAATTAACCAAATAATTATTTGAGACCACCGGAATTAAAACTGTGAAAAGTGTGGCAGCATCTTAGGTGCCTAGATTTTGCCTTTTTCTGGCTTAGAAAAAGGGCAATTGTAAATATAATAGGCAGTACTTTACGTTGTTTGCTTATTACCAACAACACAAGTTAGCTGCTTGAGCAGTGAGAAACGATGAGAAAACGAAACATTCCGATAGCAGAAATTTGCCGAAAACCGGAGCAGCTAAAACGAAAACGGTTCGTTTTCGCCCAAAACGAAATCGAAAAAATTTTACGATTACCGGAGCAGGCCTGATAAATTATAAAATAGTCAAGAGTAGCTATATACTATTTTCTTGGTCTTTTGTTGGGTTAAGATAAAGCGCGCACACTGGCGGCGGAAAGTGGAGCTGATAAGCGTGCTTCCTCGCTTGATAAAACAAACGCTCTGGTTGTATGAGAGCGCGCATACTAATAGCGGAGTTCAGCTTATCAGCTCTCAGCTCCTCTCCACTCTGATCAGCCAAGCATGTTTGTTTTTTTCTGCAGCTGATTTCTGGAGTGTTATGATTATGATCTGGATAAATGTGACATCGCATGAACTAGGATATTTTGGAAATATTGAAAAAGAAAACATTTTTTTAAAAACAATTAATTTCTCATTACAATTCAGCGTAAGCTTCAGCTCTCTGCGTGCGCGGCTATACAAAAGCTCAGTTCGCTGATAAGCTCTCCGCGAATAAGCTCGCTTATCAGCTCAGTCGTCGACGGCTGACGGCTTATCCGCTCTCTTAAACAAACACACTACACCCGGCCCTCGCTTAACACGGGGGTTACGTTCCTAAGCGTGTTAAAAGAGGTCTGTGAGCAAATTTGAAACCGTGTAAGACCGAGTCGTGCTAAAAGAGGCCGTGTTAAGCGAGGGCCAGGTGTACTTGCATGAGAGCGCGCACACTGCCGTCAGCTCCGCTTTCCGCCGCCAATGTGCGCGCGGCCACTACGAGCTGAAAGCGGAGCTGACGGCTGAGAGCTTATCCGCGGAAAGCTTATCAGCGAGCGGAGCTTTTTGCAGCCGCGCACACTGCGAGCTGAAGCTGATGTTGATTTGTAATTGTTTTTCAAGCGATACGTTTAAAAAAAAAACATATGTTAATTCTTTAATATTTTTAAAATATCCTTGTTAATGCGATGACATATTTATTTAGATCATCATGGCATTTAAATTTTCGAATTCGGACCACCCAGTTCTCCAGAATATGGTTGACAAAGTACGTTTTTTTAGTGTACTTTGGCACCCTGTATCTCGGAAAGTTGACAATATTTTTATTTTAATAAATATTAAAAAAATTCTTCATACTTTTCTATATAACTGGACAGAAATTTAAATTTCTGTTACTTAAGCGCTAATTAGGGCAATTTTTTAAAGAATAGTCTAAAAAATCAGCTCGCGTCAGCTGCTAAAAATATCAAACAGAGCGGAGCAGAGCTGACCTTATCAGCTTTCAGCTCCGCTCTCAGTGTGCGCGCTCTCATACAAGTAGTGTGTTTGTTTCAGAGAGCTGATAAGCCGTCAGCCGTCAGCTCCGCTTTCAGCTCGTAGTGTGCGCGCGGCCTAAGAGTTCCTACCCGATTCAACGGAGAATACAAGGGACGGTCTTTTCCGCTTATTCGGATACAGAGTTCTTTCTAGTAATTGATTTCAGAATTTTTGAGTTCAATCCTGTTTCCAATGCAGACTGATTATGCCCATATGCAGGGCTGGATTTACACTAAGTGCTCTCGGTGCTTAGGCACAGGGCGGCAAATATTTGGGGGCGGCAAAATTTGAAACGAAAATCGAAAATTTTTTGTCATAGAAAAATTTGTTGTAACAAAGGTGGTAATATCTGTTCTTGAATGCTTTGGCCTTGATATTGCAAATTGTCGAAGTCAGTCGTATGATAATGCCAACAATATGTCAGGAATGTACTCAGGTTTACAAGCAAAAGTCAAAGAAATCAACGATCTTGCGGAACACGCTTCTTGTGCTGGTCATTCGATGAATTTGGTTGGAATTCACGCAGTGGAAAGTACTTTCGAAGCAGCATCTTATTTTAACACAGTCCAAGCATTGTACAATTTCTTTACTGCATCTACACATCGCTGGAATATTCTTCAAACTCATGCAGGAGAGAAAATAGCTTTGAAATCATTGTCTACAACAAGATGGTCAGCTCGTCACGAAGTAGTAAAGGTGCTCAACAAGTACTATGGTGATATAATTGAAACTTTAATTACCATTGAAGAAGACATCACTGAGAACGCAATCACAAGGCAAAACGCAAAAGGACTTCGCATCCAACTTGAACGATTGGAAACAACATTCATGCAAATTCTTTGGCATTTTTTACTTGCGAGATTCGATGCTGTTAGCCGAAGGTTGCAAAAGGTTGACATCAGCTTACCTGATGTGATTGATGACTATCGTGGACTGATCAAAGTAGTAGCTGATACACGAATGGAATTCGACGTTTATGAAAATAAAGCGTTAGAAATCTCAGAAAGTCAAGAGTACCAGACAACTGTGTCTAGAAGAAGAAGAAGAAAGTTGCAGGCCGATGAATAGCGTGATGGAGATGTTCAATTGCCAGGAAGGGATAATTTTCGAATCAATACTTTTAATGTCATTCTTGACAATCTCGATTCTGAATTGCGAAGAAGATGCCAAGCATATGAAAAAATTCAGGAACATTTTTCAGTTATCACTCAATTTGGCGATTTGAATTCCTGCGAAATTCGTAAAAAGTCGGAACATCTAAGAACAATTTATACCTTAGATCTCGAACCTTCATATTTCTTTTTTGGGTAGTGGATCTTGACGACGGTTAAACAATGCAAAACAAAATGACCACACTTTGCCTTAATTAACACATTCAATCGAAAAATTGAGCATTTTTCTAAACGAATAATTAAATTTATACCTAACTCTGTAATAATTAAATAATAGGGTGCACTCTTGTAAATTCAACGAAAACGATTATAAACATTTATAATCATCTCGTATGTTGACTTCAAGTTTTATTTCCTTGTAAAAAGCCTCATGTAATTATTCCCTGACTTATGAAACAATAAATAAGTTGAAAATGAATGTCTTGAATCAATTTCATCTGCTAATAGTATACCTAACGATTTCATTGACACTTTATTTAGGTATAATTTAAAATAAATAATAAAGGCGGCATTTCATACAGCGCCCAGGGCGGCATTTAACAGAAATCCGGCCCTGCCCATATGATACACTAATGCAGTTTTCATTAATTAGCTACTTCATTAGAACCTTGAAAGAGACCACTATATGTGTCATATCAGCATTATACTGGCATGACACTGCCTCATTAATTAGAGACTTCATTAAAGATTTGACAGCGCTATAGCGTTTTACACAAGTGCGAGCAAGACGACTATATGGCGCTCTAATGCATTAGAATAATGCATTAGCTACTTCATTGCCGCGATAATCGATAGATCTACATAAAATATACTAGATACTCGATAACAAAATACGGGTTTAATGAAGAAAATTGTAATTGAAAATTGTATTAGCCAGCTCATTGACAGTATGGTCTCACAATGAGAATATTATTTTTATATCATTTCGCTGGTTTTTTGAACTGAAAAAATATTAGAAAATTAGGAAAAATAATATGTTTTGCGAGGGCAAGGTTCTTACGCTGTAAAATTAATTAAAAAATTTTTTTGGTAATAATTTAAAAAAAATTAAGCATTTTAGGTTAAAAACACAAATTTAAAGGATTCTGCATTTATTTATGCAAGAATACTTCGACGAGGAATTCAGAAATTCATAGTAATACGCCTTGAATGGCGGCCGTTTTTTTTTTGTTTACCTTTTACGGTCGGTGTGACCGTAGTCGTATTACCAAAATAATCCAAGCAAAATTCAAGCGAAATTACACAAAATTACACATATAGTGGTCTCTTTCAAGGTTCTAATGAAGTAGCTAATTAATGAAAACTGCATTAGTGTATCATATGGGCATTACCAATTTTATCAATTTCTCCCGATAATTTGGTCCTGAAAAGTTTGTATTTCTAACAAATACTTCTAATATCAGACATTCAAAATGGCCGAAGTGCGCTTCTTTGATGGACACCAGCTTCGATTAAGTAGTTGTTGGATGTTTTTTTGTTGCACAACACTATGAAGACTGTATTATAGAGAGACGCCTCAAGTAATTTATGGGTGTTAAAAGGCAATGTATTTTGATTTTATGCATGAGATCGTTGACCAATAAGCAATCGAATGCCTGAGATATTTACATCGTGGAATAACGCGCTGCAGTTTTCTTGATGCTCAAAGGCGGTGCGAATTTCTGATGTTATTCTGTTAACTTAGGAGGCATTTTTTGAACAATTTGGACAGGCCTAAACGTATTGGTCTGTAAGATAACGAAATCGTGTGGACTTTTCCGGGCTTTGGAATCATTATGATAATAGACTTTTTCCATTATTTGGGTAGTAGCTGAGACTTATGCCTCAGTAGCGTAGTATGGAAGTTCAATTATATTTTCTGGAGTTGTAGGCCTCGGCCTGGAGCCTTTTTCGTTTTAAGCTCCCTGATAAATGTTTCGGCTCTGTCTTTCTCACTACGGTCCTAGCATCCTGTTGAATTTCCTATCAGGGCGACGGTGTCAATCGGAGAGCTTAGATTTGGGAGAGCCCTCCATAAGTGATGGTTTGTATTGGTTGGCGAGAGGTTCTCTATATATTTTAGTTGAGCATTTTCAGCATCTTGCTTCGAAGCCTGGTTCAGTTTACGTGTGGCTTTTTTAAGACGTTGCTTTAAGCCTGGCGATCTGCTGGTCTGCCACGCCCGTCTCAGAACCTTTTTTTCCTAGAGCAAGTTGTTCTATTTTCAGCCCAATATATGTCAGCTTCGATATTGGGCTGGGAGGTTAGCCACCACACAGCCACACAGCCCATTTTCCCTTCCAACCCTTACGCGAATAAATAAGCTAATTAAAAGTCTAGTACTGTGAGAACGAAAATCCGGTGTCACAATTGTGATAGCACAATCGCTATATATTTTGCTCGGTAACCAGTGTGAGCAAAGAAATTAAGGAAAAGCCTTGAAACGCCATGAAAAAAGTCATACTAAACAGCTGTTTGTAAACAAAATTTTATTGTTGTTTCTTTTTTTTGTAACTCCGCTGCAAAAGCCTCCCGACATTGTTAATAAATATGGCATTAAAATGCCCTTTGTGGGTTAAATGGGTTATGAGCATCGCCTTGACCGCACTTATCAAAGCCACTTTCTCCTCGCGTGCATGTCGTTATGACAGTACCCGCAAAAACGACGAGAGAAAATGTTCTTCTTCTTCCTTTTCTCTTGCGTTTTTTTTAGATAAAGTTTGGCCGCTGTCACAATTGTGATTTTTCAAATTTAAAGCACTCCATATCTCAATACTCTACCATCTCCCTCAGTTACATAGTACCCTTGTGAAACAAATAATTAACCTATAAGAGGGTGGGTCTTCCCACAGAGCGTTAAACCGCATTCACCGTCCGTTGAACAAACTGCCCATAAGGTTTTGCCGTTCTAAAATTTCTCATTTTGTACCGCGTTAGGCGATAGTTTTTCGGTGGAACTCTGATTTCTTCTTCTTAACAGTGAACATTTGACCATTCACTACGAAAATGTAAGCAAAGTTGGGGAGGAACAATTGAAATGTGGTGCCAAAGCTACAAGCCCCAAAATGTTCTCAACTGCTACTATTAAGAAGTCTACTTCTACTTTATTTTTATAAATTTTGCGAAACTCTACCACCATGCACACCCTTCGGTGCATTTGCTCTTACCAGCTTATAGATACATACATATACCTACGGCTGGATCCTAATCCCCAGGCTTCTTTCTTAGTTAGCACTAAGTTTTAATTTCCTGTGACCACCCAGAAATATGATATAAAAACCTGGTTGACAACCACTTTAATCCGAGGGGTCTGAGCTCTGTAGAGCTCACATAGAAATTTCAAATACAGAAGACTTTTTAAAAAAATATATCCATTTAATCATGTTTTTATTTCAGGGTTACTGCGATCGAATTAAATCCGAGGAGCTCGCCCATCTCACGCCTCCGAGTCTACAGGGAAAAGAAGATATTTTGTTTGGTAATCTACATGAGCTTTTCACTTTCCACAATCAAATTTTTCTCAAAGATCTCGAAAACTGCATTTCAACAACTGAGCTCGTCGCACTTTGTTTTGTTCAAAGGGTAAACATTACATATACATTCATGTGAAACTATAGATTAACATTATTTTTTTTAGCGTGATACATTTTATCACCTATACTCGTTCTATTGTCAAAACATCCCTCGCTCTGAGCGATTACGCGAAACGCTTGTAGATACACACTTTTTTTTCCAAGATTGTCAAAAACGTCTTGGTCATAAATTACCGCTAGCTGCGTATTTACTCAAACCAGTTCAAAGGATCACAAAATACCAGTTACTTTTGAAGGACTTGCTTCGCTTCAGCGATAGTGGGAACTGCACCAAGGAGCTTCAAAAGGCGCTTGACTGTATGTTAATTGTTTTAAAGTGTGTCAACGACTCAATGCACCAAGTTGCAATAACAGGATTTCCGGTAGGAAGATATTCTAATAAATAAGTTTGCCATGCAACTGACAACTGATATTTTTCAGGCCGATATAGCGGAGCAGGGTGAGCTTTTGATGCAGGACTCATTTCAAGTTTGGTCAGAATCGAAAAAGGATATACGTCTTCGCATAAAACCTCAACAGCGACACATATTTCTCTATCAGAAATCTATGCTATTTTGTAAGCTAACTTCAAAACCAGGTCACAACAAAAGCACCTACCAATTTAAACATCATGTTAAGGTAATGAAAACTATTCGGTACAAAATATATATTGATAAACTGCTTTTCGGCAGATGTCACTTATTGGGCTTACAGAGACTGTGCGAAGTGATACCAAACGCTTTGAAATATGGACCCAGGGGCGTCAGGAAGTACATATCCTACAAGCACCGACACAAAACGTAAAAAAACAATGGGTTGCGGAAATCAAACGTGTTTTACTCAACCAGCTAGAGGAGCTTAAAGGCGAAAAGATAAAGCAATACAGCTTAAATCACCAGGGTCTTAGGCAGACCACTTCTTGGGACACCACAAATACTATTCTTGATACCCCAAACCGTGCTCTAAGATCTGATGCATCTTCAGAGACTAACAAAAGAAATTCAAACTCCAGTAGTATTGATTTTGAACCTACTACCTCTAGTAATAGCGTGAATGACCTATCAAACAAGGATCAACTGGAAAATTGTGGCTGGAGTTCTGACTGCTCAAATAGTGAAGATGAACTTTCTCTTACCGAAGAAAATAACAGCCCTGTAAGTATGATTAACCAAAGTATAACCTATAAAATGTAAGCCAAATAAATACAAACAATAAAGGAAGCTAACTTCCGGATGTCGAGTTTTGTATACCCTTGCAGTTTGTAATTGGAGTATACCAAATGGAACAATTTTTTTTAAATGAACTCCCTGATAAAATTAAAAATCAATTATTTTAACTCGTATAAAGTTACTATTGTATGTACAGTTTACTACATATACAGATCATTCCTATGGCAACTATATTTGATATAGTTTTTTTTTAATTAACCTAAGTTTTAAAATAATAAATTTTCTAGCATTTTGCTCATTTCTCAGAGTAGATGTAAATATGTTGAAAATCAACAAAGTTATAATTTTTTCTCAAAAAAATGTTAGATTTTTGGTAGTTATATGATATAATATATACTATTAAAACGGAAATTTCAGTACGCATTAAAATAATAAAAAACTGTAGAGAGAAAACGATTTTTTCTGATAAAAGCCTTAACATATAACTTTTTATTAGCTCTTTCATTCCTGCAAATATTGATTTTAGGTCATTTTTAAGATTATTGCAAAATTCAAATGATTTGTACGAGACAAAAACGGAAGTGGTTTTTGAGGTCGACCAATTCTATCGCTTGTTTTAATCAACTAATTTTAAACTTTAAGCACTGATGCCTTTTAAAATTTTTTTTTAACAAGAAAGGAAGATAACTTCGGCACTTCGACGTTTATATACCCTTGGAGTTTGCAATTGGAATCGCTTCTGTTTGCGAAAGTTTTTCTGTGCACCTCTGATTTCTTCTTCTTAACAGTGATCATTTGACTATTCACTACGAAAATGTAAACAAAGGTGGCGAGGAACAAATGAAATATGGAATTTAAAATGTGGCGCCAAAGCTACAAACATGCCCAAGATAGTTGTTGGTGTTTTTCACTCTTCGGGGCATATGCTCTTTGTTAGAGAAAAATCATTAGAGAAACTCAAATTCCTCGTCATCTAATTTATTTTAATTTAGTGCGGATAAAATCTGACGCAATCTGTGGTTTGGTGTTTGTTAAACAGCCTAAATAGTTGACAAACTATTCATTTTACTCCCCCATCAGCCGCTTCAGCCATCTTTGTTTACGTTTCGAAAGGGGCAAGGCTGATCGATCAGCTGTAATTGGATGCGGATTCAGATGCAAGGTTCTGTGGGAACACGAGTTTCAAATCTGCGAAAAATCCCTATTGCTTCACTCAGATACACTAAGTGGGAAGATAGTATTACTGCCTAATAAACTTATGGCTAAAATTAATACCCTGCAAAGGAATACAAAAAATTAGTACGAAGCGAGTTGCAGGAATTCAATGCTACAATTTCAATTTCTACATTCTAGACTCCTAAATCGTTATCTTATTTATTAAGCTTTGATTGTTCTGATTAAATTATTTATATTGGACTTATATATGTGTATGTAACTAACTATATAATGCATTATTTTTTTAAAACAGGGCAGTAAATTTATAGCCCTTGCGGATTATACAGCTATGGGACATTCAGAAGTCTCGTTGCGTGAAGGGGATACTATTGAACTGCTAAAAGTGGGGTGTGCCGGATGGTGGTATGTTCGAGTCCTAGGTAAATAAAAGACATTTAACCGAGTTATATATTATTTTTTATTTAATTTTATATTTATAAAAGACAATAAAATACAGTACAATTACATAACATTTTTGATCTATTGCAGATTCCTGTGCAGAAGGTTGGGCTCCAGGTGCTTATACACAATCTATCAACCGCAAATCTTCACAGTAATTTAATTCTTATAAGCCAAATTTAATTTTAAAATAATTAGATGTGTTAATTACTTAGGTCATTTTAAGTCGCCAGATTAAATTGTATAAATTAATATATATTAATAAATGTAATATAACTAAATAATATAATATAATGTTCCTCCCAACCCACCGAGGGGCGCATCCGAGTGACATACGGCACGAGCGCGACCTGGATAGACACATTAGAAAGAAAGAAGATAAAAGAATGAGGAAAAGTTAAAAATTTTTATTACACTACGAGCTAATTCTAAAAGAATTATGAAGTAGTTCTATGGCTGGGGTGAAGCTCAGTCACGCCAAGATATCTATATAGAAAATTTTATAAATATAGGACAAGGGTTTTCGATGAACAGTGGGCTGACGTGAGATGGAGGGTTACCGGGTTACCAAGTAGGAAACTGCTTTTGGTATTTGGTGAAGAGAGAAAGGGCCAGCGGCCTCGAGGAGACCGAGGAGGACCTATTATGGGGACACTTTTCTAGGGCAGGGTCTTCAAGCTAGGTCCTAGGCATCCGCCAGGTGGGATCACAGCCGGCAATCGCTTTCGGCCCAAACTATGCGGCCAGCTGAGCCTGGCCACGGGCAAGTATCGGATTACGAAATATATATATATTAGCGTGGGTGACCATTTTGTTCATTTGTGGATATAAAACACAGGAAAGCTTTTTATTTCAACATCGGTTCGAGAATTTGTTTATTAAAAATGAGGTTATGTTTTCGGCACATTTCTAGTTTGGGTTTTTTCCTTTGCAATGTTTGGGGTTACTTCACCCAGGTGAAATTTTGCATCTAGCCTATTCTGAGATGATACCGCATCGAGGCCAACCGAGATTTTATGTGCACGTGGTTTTTGCCGTTGCTATTTTACCTATTTTTATTTTAAATATAAATGTACATAGACGAAGAGAAGAGGATGATACACTCCCGCGGGACTGCCGCAAAGCAATACTACGCGATTGCTGGCGGTCGTGCTTCTACCTGTGTAGAAACCTGGAAACATTCATGTCCTGTGATGAAGTGCGTTGTGTAGAAGTTCAAAGTCTAGTGCTTGTACTATCCCAACTCTCTTGTCATCGTGAAATAGCGCTGCTCATCTGGGTTCCACTACCCGATTTGTCAGTCCTGCTGCTTATGAGAACTGCTTCCGTCTTGTGCTCGGCAAGCGAGAGCCCGTTGTCCGCTAGCCAGAACATTAGCATGTCGATCGCATGACTGCACTTCGTAGAAACGTTAGCCAGGTGCTTCTCTACAGTGAGCAGCCTTCAGGCAGAGTCAGCCTCAGTATACCGTCATACATGACGTTCCATAGGATTGAGCCAAGGACTGATCCTTGGGGTACTCCTCCTGTCACTTGGTGCCCCTGGTTCCCGGCGTACAGCAAGACGCGGTCTTTGAAATAGTCGGCTATCAGCTGTACGAGGTATCCGGGTACCGCCACGCTGAAGTGCTAGGGACTAGGCTCCAGTTTGCAGAATTACAAGCGTTTTTGACGTTGAGGGTGCATACAAGGCAGAATTTCTTGGTGCCTCTCTGCCATCTTTCGCCTTCAATCGCATTTGCTGCCAGCCACGTTACCTCGCGGATTGCATCGATAGTGCTGCGCATCTTCTGGAACCCATGCTGGTTGTTAGATAGGACTCCGCGCTCTTCGATTTCGATTTCCAGTTTGTTGCATATAATTCGCTCGAATAATTTCCCCAGCGTATTCAGCATGCAGAGGATGAAGATGGTTCATCGTCCAATTTCCACGGCTTCGGAATGAGCACGAGCCTTTGCTGCTTCCAGGCTCTTGGAAAATCCCGTTCGACGATGCATTTGTTGTAAACCTCCGCGAACAGCTTTTGGGTGAGACTTCACTATGGCATGCAGAGCTGCATTTGGAATGCCATCTGGTCCAGGGGCCTTGGAGGATTTGCAGCTGGCTGGCGCGCTCATGACCTCCTCTTCACCAATGGGGGAACCGAACCCCAGTTACGTTGGGTAGCATTAGGGGCGGCTGAGCTGGGAACAGTTTGGTGACTATTGCTCCCAAATAATTTGTTTAAACAATTAAACCTTTCTTTAATTTCTGAAAGGTTTAATGTATTTCTACAAACTCCTTTAATAGTTAAAACGCAAAAACCACCCTTATAATTATGAGAGGGAGAGCACAAGATAGTCGGTTTTGACAAGATTGTCGAATGAGAGCTTCGTCTCGGTAGAAGACATAGTTGGCACCTTGATTGAACGTTAAAGACCGTGGTCTTTTGATGACCTCTGGTACTGCAGTTAAGTGACACTCAAGAAAATTACATTTCTTGTTATATCCAACTCCAGTGATCAGAAGCCGTAAGTTACTATACGGAGAGCAGCAGGGAAAATATATTTAAACTCTCATTTAAATATATTTTCCTGCTGCTGCCCGTATAGTAAATTACGATTCTGAAATACCAAACTTAGTTGGTTTCTGGATTTAGAACCTTGTTTCTCCCTCTCCCCTTTGTTCCCCCACGGTCGCTAATTACAAGCTTGACACCTCCATCCGCGTGGTCTGCGACATCCGATTCTTGGTTCTGCGAAGTTATTTACATTTTGTCGACCTGTGTTATATTTACAGTCTTGCAGTACAGGTAAAGCTCTTGCTCGTGCCTCCAATAATAACTACGCTGCGTTTTGGTCCACATCCTCTCTTTCCTGGTTGTGACTGCGCACCATCCTGAATCTTTGAGAAAAGCAAGGGTAGCTGCAATCTTTAGCTTCTTTATTTCTCCCAGCTATTGTTGGACAGTGATAAAGCATGTGCTCTGATGTCTCCTGCTCCACTGCACTATGGGGAATTTGCCAGCCGCTTCAGTTTGTTTATTTGAGATGAGACACTGCTGAACGATCAGCTGTATTCGGATGTCGGATGCAGATGTGCCTCTATGGGAACAAGAGTTCCACGTGCGAAATATCCCAACTGTTTCACACAGATTCTTTTAGTGGGAAGGCACTATTACATCTATATCCCCCCTTAATTCCAAGTACAGTACAGTACATAAATTAACGGTTTGTCCGGAAAAATCAGGTTGAAGATTAGAGTCGAAATGCACCAAATATGATTTTGTTAGCAAAATTAAGGAAAATTGAAAACTATCTGCTCCAAATTTAGCGGTAGTGATAGAGCACGACTTGGGAAAGAAATGTAGTGCTGATACAGTCGCCGACTATTACATGTGAACAAGCCATAAGTAAGAAAAAAGGAAAGGAGGAACGGCACAAATTCGCAAAGGAACATATATGTAACTCGGACAATTTTCTTCTGGAATGATGTTATCTTTGCAGATGAAAGCAAATGAATTTATTTGGCTCTGATGGGAGGCAATATATGTGGCGGAGGCCATGTCATAGTTTGGGCCTGTATGGCGGCCATTTTTATGGTATTTAGTCATTTTATCAAACTTTTAAAAAAATTAACCTATCCACTGTTAAAGTCGGCTGTTGTGGCCCAAATGCATGTGCTTAAGAATAGCTATTTTTATTCTGTTACTTAGAAAGTGAAAAACTTAAAAGTAGAACCAATTTTTGATTAAAGTTTTGATGGAGACCAATCGTACTGGTAATTATTATGTGTTGTGTGTACTAATATATTTTTCTAAGTGTTCCTCTAAGGACATTTTTTTGAAAAAATATTTAACTTTAAAGTGACCTATAAAAAATATATGTCTTTGTATTCCGATATATGTTGTAAAGGCATTCATTCTTAATAAAAGACAATTTGTCTCAATGTGCACAAATCCGCACAATCTGCGTAATTTAATTTTTTTTGGCATGTGTCTTTGGGCTTTCATACGCTGAGCTCTATGAAGTATGGCGAACGGAGCTGGACCAATTTTACCAAGGAAAAACAATTCTTGATTTTGTTTTGTAAGGAAGTTCGACGGCTGGGGTAAGCCTCAGTCACGTCCAAGGTCCTCTTTAACAGAAAAATTTGTAAAGATGTGGGACAAAGTGTTTTGACGGACGGCAAACTGACATGAGATGGTAATGGTCAGTTACCGGGATACGCAGCCAGAAAAATGGCTGATTCGGTCTCTGCAATAGAGCGAAATATTCGTCGGAGCGCGTTTTGGGTCGGGCCCATAGCAATCGCTAGAAGGAGACCGAAAGAGGGGTCGATTTTGGGGACCACCGTTTCCTAGGGCAGAGTTTATGGCCTAAGATCTAGGCATTTTGGGCAAATATTCTACGAAATTCATGGCCAGCGTGGCGGTGGGTCGTTCCCTCGCGAGCTGGACTCGATCGGAGTCGAAGATTTTACTTGAGAAAGCTTTTCTGGAATTTATTTAATTTTTCTCAATTCTAAATTTCTCTGCATTTTATTTTTCTCAGTGTGGGCCGTGGTTAGATAATCCGCGAGAGCAGGAATATATTTTTGAATAAAATTTACTTAGGTCTCATTATAAAAGTTCGGAGGAGCAATTTCTCCCAGTGTAGGCCATCCCCCGCAAGCACCAAAGGAAAATTATAAATACATCCGAGTTTATGTTTAATTAGTTTTCAGTTTCATTATTTATTTATTTTTACTTGAGTTGTATTTTCTTCAAAATGTTTATTTTTCAGTTTTCATTGGGTTTTATTTTTATTTAAATCAAGTTGTATTTTTCCAAAATTTCTCTCTTTTAGTTTTCGTTTTGGTTTTATTTGAATAATAAAGTTTGCAGGGAATTTTAACAAAAAAATATGGTTAGATGTCGGGGCATTATTTCTAGCCTACTCTAGCGAAAACCGCATCCTGGCCATCGAGAAATTTCTATTTACACCGGTACCCGCTGGCCAAAATGCGATCCTCCTATACACTCACCCGTCTCCGTTTTTCCGCACACACACACGTGCCTGCCGGTGGCTGCTGCTTCCGCCACGTCCTCGCCGTCCGCTTCCAAAAGAATTTGCCTCCTTGGCCGTCGAGAAAAATCAAACTCCGCTGCACGTCACTGGCTGCCTCACGATCGTTGGGGCACTTGGTATAAATTGTCACTGTCAATAGGCACTTTTCTGCACTCGTTGGTCGCAAGAAAAAAATATAACTCCGTCGCTTGGAAAAACACTCCCGTTTTGGCTTCGCTGTGAAAAGAACTCCGT